GTCGAGTCAGGGTCAGACTCGGCGAGTACAGTTGCGAATTGAAACTCATCCGGATGCTGAATAGACTCGTCGAGTGAAGGTCAGACTCGCCGAGTCACTTGCAAACATTTCAAAAATTATAATTTTATCCATGTATTTATGAATACAATATTTAAACCACCCCACACTCAGACCATGCGTACTCTCAAGCAAACATGTTTGATGACTTATAAGATGAAAACAGAAAAAGAAATCCTGAAAACGAAAATAAAAATAAAACGAGAAAGATTAAAGAAAGCAAACTATCATAACAGGTTTCCTCCTGCCAAGCGCTTCTTTTTAAGGATTCGTTAGTTGAACTCCTCCCCATCTACATTTCTTTATTTTCCTGCATCGGGAATGCACGCCTAATCTTTTGCGGTTTATACTTCGTTTTATAGGCATGTATCTTCCTCTTGTATGCCTGTCTCAATTCTTCTCTCTTTTTCCTTGTGGCATTTTCTTCAATTGCATGCATGTTCCTTTTCCCCATCTTCTTCTTCTTCACCCCATTCTCTTGAACACTTTTTTGTACTTATCCTTCTTTAAACTTAATTACTTCATAATTGATAAAAACTCGGGCTCGAGGTTTGGTTATACGTGACTCAATGAATAGGTTATCAACATCATCTTTCTTAACCGTTGCATTCCCCTCTTCTCCAAAACTTGCCTCCTCTTCAAGTGGAATGTCTTCACCTTATTGCATTATTGTATCGAGGTACGCTGCTTGAACGTGTTGAAAGTCACCATACGCTTTAACAATTCCACCTTCTGCTGCTCGATCTTCTAAAGAATTAGGAAAAATCTCCATGTCCAAATCAAACACGGGACTGGTGGCAAGAAGCTCAAGACTATCCAAATTGATGAAATTTTCGACGAGACTCGTCGAGTCTGTCAAGTCAACTCTGCGATTCGGTGCGAATTCCTCACACTCCATTACGTTTTCTGAATCAGTTCCTTCCATCATCTTCTCTATCTCCTCTAAGTCCTTTTCAACATCATTATTTCCTCCAGAAGATAGTAGAAATCTACTTGATCTTATTCTTTTAAGAGTGCAAGTTCTTTTTGGAGTATTTCATCATCCAAATCAATGAAGGAAATTTCTTCTTTTCTTACTTCTTCCTACTTAATTTATGGTATAGCTTTAATCACAGCTGACTCATCTCCTACCCTCAATGTTAGTGTGGACTCGCATACATCTATCAATGTGCATGCGGTATTTAAAAATGGTCTCCCCAAAATAATTGGAATTTTGGGGTCTTCTTCCATATCAAGCACTACAAAGTCCACCGGGAATACAAACTTGTCCACTTTTATGAGAAGATCTTCACTAACACCTCTTGGACGAATGATCGTCTTGTCTGCCAAATGGATCTTCATATTAATAAACCTTGTCTTCGGTAACTTCAGCTTCTTGAAGAAAGAAAAAGGCATTAAGTTTATACTTGCACCCGAATCGGTCAATGCTTGAGTAGCAAGTATATTTCCAAATTGGCACGGAATGGAGATGCTTCCTGAATCGCCCTTCTTTTCTGGTAGTTCGCTTAATACACTACTAGAAAAAAGGCCTTTTACGACGCTCATTGCGCGTCGTAAAACGATCAGACGACGCGCAAATGCGTGTCAAGGAAGGCCCTGTCATAAAGAGAGACGACGCGCATTTACGACGCGCGGTTATGACACGCAGTGCGTATCAAGAAAGGCCCTGTCATAAAGGAAGACAACACGCATTTGCGTGTCGTAACCTTACGACGTGCGTGTTTATGACACGCAATGCGTATCAAGGAAGCCCCTGTTAAGAAAGGCCATGTCATAAATGAAGATGACACACATTTTTACGTATCAAGGAAGCCCTTGTCATAAAGGTAGACGACACGCATTTTGCGTGTCATAATTTTAAATATTTTTAAAATTATATATTTTTTGATAGATTTACTAATTTTCAAATTAAATAACACATTAAAAGTCAAATAATACAAAATAAAATACCATAAACACTAAGAATAATTCATTGCACTAATATGTCAAATACAAATAATCATTCCAATATTAAGTAAATGTAACACATTGCTAATATTTCATAATATTTATTATACAAGAAATATGAAAAAATTGAAATCCCTGAGATTAAAAGTACTAATAGAAGCTTCACGTGAGATACATACAGTTGGACCAGTAAGCAAGGATGTTCCCAAATCCATAATAACAGCACAAGAACACGTGCACGATATCTTCTGCTAGAAGTTGTCAATCCAAAACTATTGTTGAAGGTTGGCATGATAGCTATTAAGATTTGAGCATAACAAGAAACTAATCAATGTTAGGAACTCAAAATTTACTGCCACCATTATCATGTATACTCTGGACAAAAAAATAAATATAAAATGGAAATGAGTCAAAAGTTTAACTGTTTGGGCTATTTTTGTGTTTTTTTTACAATTTAATTTCACCTTGATGGCATTCTTCATTTCTACAAGAACTAATGGTATTCTTTTTACAGCTTGGGCATATGAATACTTATTGGCAAACGCATCAACAATGTCATTTTGGCCAATGTCAATCATATAAAGTGCTTGTTGAAACCCATCATCATTTATCATCTTTTGTAAACTTGAATATATCACCTCAAAAAACTAAATTTACAAATCCCAAAATTGAAATTTTTAGGTAAGATAAATTGCATGATATAAAAATCAATTGATAAATGGCTTTTTATGGTAGGAAGGGCATAACCGTCATTCGGACATTCCTATGATAAACCTATAAAGTTCACATGAAAGCTCTCTCAAGGCTGTGGGCAAGTTTAGTTCAGGCTCAGAAGTAGGAATATCCAAATTTGGAATATCCCACTGTCAGATCCAAGAAAAAAGAAAATCAATTATTGAAAATTTTAAAATCATATTTCACAAGGAGTGTTAATACTTAAAGAACACAAAAGGGTACCTTGGGCGCAAAATCTTTGGAAACTAATCTTGCATATCTCTATCAAAAGGTAAAAGCTTTCAAGTGTATGTGTCACACATGAAACAAAACAGATAAAGGAATGTGTATATATAACATGGCTTTCAAAATTCACTTGATATTTACTCACTTGAAGATCTGCAAACACTTCAAATGGAATGTTGGATCATTTTCACTGTTACATAAATTATGCTTTGTAGAATTACTTGTGCACATGACAAGTTAGCACATGAAATTTGTGAATTTTCGGGCTAGTTTGCACTCTTGTACTAAGCTGAACTTTTGTGCTTGGAATTAAGTTAAGCCCTTGGTAAGGATGAAAATAGACTTCCATACCTGATTATAGGCTTTTACCTCATGGCATTTGGAGCCTTTATGAATTTATTATGAATTTTCGAAGTTGATTGATGCAAACAGTGGGCTGCATGGACCAGTTTGCAAAGATTGGTACTTATACCCTTAAAGGAATTGGAATTAGGAAAAGTGGTCCAAAGTTCAGTGAAACTAGATACACTAACCTTTCCAGAAAACTATACTTCATGATTTTTGGACAATCTGATGGCCTTGTATGATTTTTATAAGATAAGGACAGATTGCAGCAACGTGCTGAAACATTTCATGACAGCATCAAACAAAATGGGATAAACAACTCACATAAACTCAGAATCAGGATAGGAAAACAAAGAAAAAATGTAGTAGACATTCATACCTTTCCACAATGAAAACCCCATTAAAATTCTCAACCTAACACCATTGCCCTTTCTATGGCATGAATTACCATTCTGCCCTTCTCTTCTTCCTCATTTTCTGCTGCATTTTCAGAAAGAAAAAAAATGTGTGGTAAAGATGGTGAAAATCATGGTACTTAAGTGCTTCAGAAAATGATGCAAGAAAAATCACTCTAACAGAATACCAATTGAGAGTCATTCCACTCCATCAAAATCCTTTAAAAATAATGTTTGTTGGGATTTCTGCAATATTTCTGTAACTGCTTCATTCAAATATTCCCTAAAAATGATGTAGCTTTAATATAATCCACCTTCTATTGCTACAACTGCTCTTCTCATTTTCCCATTTTTTCCACTTTTAACCCTTCTACTTGTAATCACTGCAGTCCCATCCCTACCAATCTTTTTCAAAATTCCCCCAATGCCCGCTGCTGCTAACCTTACAGCTCTTCTTGTCACCACGTCACATATTTTCACCACCAGTTTTCTCACTTTCAGTGGAACATCATTTATCTGATAATGAATTAATTTTGTCAAAAAAGAAAATAAACCCATATTCAAAAAAGTATTTTTTTTTATATAGAAACTAGGAAAATCTTACATTTAGGGTTTCTTCAAGAATCTTGGCAACTTCACTTGGGTTTGGGGTGTCATCTTCATGCATAGCAGCCATTAATGGTGTATTGAGTATTTTTAAGAAACAAAATATGAATTTATCTTTTTTGTAATCCCATTTGCTGAGAACTTTTTATCAATCTAAACAATGCACTTTACATTTCTACCACTACATTGGTAAAAAGAGTAAAGAATTTCGTTTTATGACATACCTTAACATGAATCTTGCTGAAAGCTTAGAGGAAACTCGTCCAAAAATATCTGATTCTAATGACACTTTGTGAATTACTCTTCTAACAATGTCACCTAAATACATTCCCGATATCATTTTCTCAAAACCCTGTATTATTAATCACACAAATCATATCAAGTAAAAAAAATATGGAAATTACAGAGTGAAAATTATCTTGGATAAAAATAATTAAATTAACCTGATCATTTGGGTTCTGACTTTCTGCATCAAGATCAATATCATAATCAGTTCACTACTAGAAAAACAACCTTTTACGAACAAAACAAAATATCTTGTAATAACAACTTACTGGCAGCTGGTATTCTATTTTGGAATCTCTACGCCCTCCTCTTATGGCAAAATGAGCACAACCAGGATACTTCCCCTGTCTACAATTCCTCCCTCATCAACAGTTTCATTTGCTAATATTTCATATAATTCATAAATTAGTTGTTGCACCTACAAGTCATCAACAATAATTATTAGTATGAGAATTCCTGACAAGGGTATTCTCGTCTTTTGTACTTTTTTACCTCAGGGAATCAATAAGTCCTTTAGGTATGAGAATAACACCATAGTTATAACCAAGATCTGCACGTTTACAGATTATATCTGCTATGTAATTTGTAACCCTTTTTTAGTGTCAATTTCATTGATGCAACATGTAAGAAATATGACAAAAAAATAATTAGTGAGTCTCTAAAAAAAAATAAAAAATAAATTGAATTGTGTACCTCTTCTCCAATAAGAGTGATGTTTGGATGAGTTTGTAAAGCACATTCTAATGTAATGTGGGAAGCAGCACGTCACATAAACCTTACAACTGCATACATACATTACAACCTTATAATTAGCAACCATGTGAATATTCCTATTTCCTTGGTCAAACGTTGACCAAATTTATTTTTTTATTTTTACAAATTATATGAAAATATAATATTCCAGATAATGAACTTACAGTGATAATATTTCCCTGTGGAACGTGCATCTATCATAACATTTCCCGAAATCCCCCTGAAATACATTTAATAACAAAAGCATGATTGGTGGATATCTTTGGTTTGCGGAAAGACTGGAGCAAGTATACACCAAGTTAACACTTAACACAATTCACCATTCATTCTCCACAAACATTCAATTATTCAAACAATCTTAACATTCCCTTTTCAGAAACTGAAGATATCCCACTTAAAGAAATAGAATCCACCATAAACACCCCCTTTACATAACCTTTTATCACTTGAGGTAAAATGGTCAAGAAAAAAAGAAAAGAAACAGAAATTGTTGGTGTTGGTGTTGGTGATTTTGACATGATGAACCTCCAAAGATAGGTGACAATTCTTTAGTAGCAACTTCTCCTCATGTTTGTATTTGTAATGCAAATGTTAAGAGGTTCTGAATCAAATGTATAGGATTATCCATAGATTTGAGCTTGCCTTTGCAATAGTATAAGCTGAGGGTCGAGCATTCACAACAAGGGGACCTCTGCGAGGTGGCCCTGTTGGTCTTCCACCACCAAATGATCTTCCTTGACCTCGACCACCACCACCACCATGAGCCCTACCTCTCCCTCTATCTCTAATCTTCTTCAAATAGATTTTGGTGCGAGACTGGATCAGCTGCTGATGCAATCGTATACGAATCGACAAAATCAAGCAATTGAAAGAACTGTTATAGGATCGCTGGTGATCTAGGGTTTGAGCATGAGAAAGAAATAGGGTTCGAGCATGAGAAAGAACTGTTATAGAGATGTAGCAAGGTACGAGGTGAGATCTAGGGTTCGAGCATGAGAAAGAACTGTTATAGGATCGCTTGTGATTGGATTTCATTGGAGGGTGGAGATGCAGAAGAGAGAACACGCAGTAAAGAAAGGCGGGGCAAGTTCTTCACAAAAAGCCCTAGCTCCGATTGGATTCCGGTATCAACGAGGCCTTTGACGCCGGTTTTTGTTTGGTCGAAAGCTTTGAGCTCTGATTGTCGATCGTAGCTTGAGCCCGATCAAGCAATGGTGGCAGCCATTATTGTGAAGATGATCGTGTTATATATGCGAAGGTATTCTCTAGAAAGGTGAGTGAGCATCCTTGCAGTTGTGGCCCTATGAACGTAAAGTGTTTGATTTCTTGTGAGAAATGAAGCGATAGAGATCGATCTATGGAGGATGTGGGTCGTTCTTTGAGGGATGAAAAAACCCTAGTTTCTTAGACTTTTTGAGTACGGGGTTTTCTAAATTTTAGATTCCCGCGAGGTATTAAGGATGGAACACGATGTTTGATGAGATCGATAAGGAGGTCAGGAGTGGCGGGGAAGCGGATCAAAGAGGAGAGAGAAGGAGGGAGCGAGAGGGGAGAAGATGAAAGATAGAAAGAAGGTAGAAGACGACTTTTCAAAATTTTGGGGATTTCGTTTCCCACCTCTACTAAACACGCCTTTTCATTAAAATTATAAAGCGAAAAATATAGAGGACGCACCTTTAAAATAAAGCGCCCTCCGTGTTTTTAATTTCTTTTCGTGAGACACTAATTTAAGGGCACTCAGTAATGCACGACCTAAATTCTTAAATTTTTTGAAGAGATGACTCTTTTTTAATGTCGCTCTCTAATGCCTAACATAAATCAAAGAGCGTCGTGTTTTGCATGTCGTAAAAGGCTGTTTTTCTAGTAGTGATACTAAATCCTATATTTTTGCCATATCTTTTCTAGCAGCAAAGAGACCCTTAAGCAAGTTCAAATATTTAGGAGTTTGAAGCATCATTTCAACAAATGGGATGTTGACTTGAAGGGCATTAACATGTTCCATGAAAGCTCTATATGCTTTGACCTTTTCATCTGGTATGAATCAAATTGGAAATGACAAAGGAGGTGTGTTAGGCTTTAAGGAAACAACAGATTTGTTATCAGGGCATGGACTCGTCGAGTCTATCAAGTCGACTCGGCGAGTCGGGTCGGGCTTAGTTGAACTCGACTCTCTTGTCTTTTCTGCTTGCACCTTTGTTAAGAACTTTTGTGAAGGGGTCAGAGGAGTGAAAGTTTCCCCATAACTAGATGTTATAACATTCACATTCTCCATTCTCAGATTATTCTCAGTTTTACTTGGAAGTTCACCCGGTCTTCTCTCGTTCACTTGATGCGCTAGTTGCCCAAGCTGTTTTTCAATGTTAAGAATAGATGCTTGCTGATTCCTAAGTATATTTTTGGTCTCATGTATTGGAGCATCATGATCATTGTGTCTTTTCTCAGACGCAATTATAAATCTTGTGAGCGTCTCTTCTAAATCAGTTCTTTCTTCCATAACCGGTTCTTCCTTTTGATAGAAACCCCTCTCTTTTTGCTTGTATTTCTCTTCCTTTTCTTTTTTGTATTCTTCATACGGGAGCCATTTCTTCTTTGGTTTCTGCCAATTCTCATCGTATCTGTCGCTACTTGAATAGAAAACTTGCGCCTTTGTTTCCATTCTTATCCAAATCACAGTCTTTAGTTAGGTGCGGTCGCCTACAATTTTCACATCCCACCCGGATAGCATGGATTGTTTGATCCATCTTCGTCATTCTTCTATCTAAACTGTCTAGTTTAGCCATCATTTTCGCCATGCTATCGTTGACCGTGTTCACTATCCCCCTACTTACTTCATTTCGTGGGTTGTGGTAGTCTCTAGAATGATTAGAGAACTCTTCACTTAATTCTTTGATTTCCAGGGGTGGCTTCCTTGTGAGTGGCCCTTGCGAGTCAAGTAACTACCTAGTGGTGACATTGACTCCATCATAGAAGATGGAGACTTGTTGTTGGCTATTTAAGTATCGGTGTGGAAAATTCCTTAGCAGGCTCTTGTACCTCTCCCAAGCTTCATATACTGACTCTCCAGCTTGTTGTTCAAAGTTAGCAATGGCCTTCTTCAACTTGGCTATTTTAGAAGGTGGGCATAAATGATCTATAAATTCTTCTTTCATCTTAACCCATTTGGTGACTGACCCGGGAGGGAGTGACTTGAGCCAATCTTTTGCCGCACCCTTGAATGTAACTAGAAGCATGAGAAGTAGCTGGGTCTCGCGAGGTACATTTGGAACATTAAAGTAATCAGCTACATCATTGACTTCATCCAAGTGCTTGTAAGCATCTTCGTGGTCTTTTCTGTAGAAAGGAATCTCCTTTAGTTGAGCGAGTATGTGGCCCTTTAGTTCGAAAGTAGCAATAGCGGGAATTGCGGGTAGCACAAGTCCTGGGCCGGTATCGTCACATATCCTCTTATTCCATTTCCCCATGGGGATTTCATCGATGTTAGCCATGACAATGGCTAATTCATCGTCAAAGTCGTATTCGTGCCCGAAAGTGGGATCTTCTTCTCCTTCGGTTTCGTACTTGGTGTCCTCTTTGATCGAGTCTTCTATTGCTATAGAGGTGTCGGAAGCTCTTGATTTGCTGCACTTCTTTTTGCTGAAAACGGACTTTAGATTCTTTAGTGGCGAGTTCTTTGAAGAAACTGATTCTCCAATGGATTTTCCTTTGTTCTTCCTTAGGGAGGACTCTAGGTCTTCTAGTGGAGGAACCAAAGGTGTATCAGCTCCTCGGGTCATGAAACAACTGCAAATAAAACAAAAAAACGCGTAAAAAGAACAAAAATAAAATAAAAGCTAAAACTATGAACAGCGATGGACTCGTCGAGTTGTCACGAGTGCACTCGACGAGTTCAAGGCAAAAATAGAAAATTTTTATAATTAACTTATTAAAATGGATATTTATTAAAACCTATACTAACTACTAAATTACCAACGAATTAACTTTATGTAAGATAAATCCCACACAAAGGATCGACAAAAATAGAAATTAGTGCTAATTTAGAACCGTTCCCCGGCAACGGCGCCAAAAACTTGATGTATGTAAAACCAACTAGTTTTAAACCCACTTTTAATTATAAAATAAACACACAAAGGAAGTGGACCTATCAATTGTGGTAAAGCTAAATAAGTAGGGTATCGAACACAAGGAACGGTAAATTAAAACTAAAAACTAATTTATCTAAATTTAAATGATAAAAGGGGTTTTTTCTCTAGTTTTACAAGACTAGAAACTTACTAACTATTACTTAAACTAAAAACTAGAAAAGCAAAGATTCAACTAAATTCAATGACGAAGAGGACTTTGGTTTAGTTCAACTCAATTGATCCTCTGGTTGATATTATGGTAATAGTGCAATGGATTAATTCTTCTATTGGCTACCGATTCAAATAATTAGATTCACGTTCGCTGCACTAATTCTTAGAGAACAAACTAACTCAAACAGTGGCCAGTTGTCTAATTTAATTTGATTCACTAGGTTATTTATTTGGGTTAATTTAGACTTGTAATAGCTAACTAATTTGGTCCTTTAGTTAACCTCTTGTTGATGGTCATCACACAAGCTCACACATGTATTTACCTATTTTTCCTATTAATTCTGGTTTCACAATCGCTAATCCTAGTCATATAATAAAGTGGTCACATAAATTATATGAGGTAGCAATTAAGAGATGTTCATGCAACTTAATTATCTTCCAATTAACAGAAAAGTAGTTATCATTCACACATAAGTTTCGTTAACAAGCTAGAATCGACAAAATCACCAATATTAAATCACTCCTACCATATATAATCAATCCATAGTATCAATTGTGTCTCCCCAAATAGAAGTTTAAAGGTTTTAGCTCATGACTGAGGTGGTTAACAACATAAAAACGAAATAAAAAAGTCTAAACATAGTGAAGAACAATATATTAAAGTAAGAATGATGTAGAGTTGCCTCAAATCTTCTTCGAGATTGGTTTAGGGTTGTATCTTCATTCTCCAGCTCTCTCCTCACTCTGATTCACAGCTTGCTTCTCCCCAAGGGTTCGAAAAATTTTTATATCGATTTGGAAAGCTATATATATAGATTTGAATCGACTCACCAAGTCCATGACCGACTCGCCGAGTCCATTGCTTAATTCCCGTGCACGGTAAGTCTTAGAGTCCTTATCTTCTTGATCCTTTGATGCGACTCGCCGAGTAGTCGACCCTACTTGTCGAGTACCTTATATATTTAGCATTTTTTTCTTTCTTCAACTCCCGAGCTCCCAACCGCTTCTCCTGCTTCCTTTGGCTTCCGAGCTTTGCTTTTGGACTGAAAACACCATTCAAACACTTTTAAGTATCTTTTGTCCATGATATGCAATAAATTAGCTAATAAATGATAAAAATCTATACTTAATATAAGACTAAATATGCAAATATCAGCAAGCCTGAGGAAGCTTTACATGTTATATCTTATATGTTTATGTGTTTTTGTTATGATATATGTATACTGGACTTCGGTCCGATGCTGCGCGGGGCCCGATGCCAGATTCGTCCGATGTCGGGCGGGGCCCGATGCAGTAGGCGAGGCCTAATATATGCCATTATGTGCTTATTATATGGTATATGGTAGTTTGGGGAGCTCTCTAAGCTTCGTGCTTATAATTTCTAATTTTGGTTTCAGGTACTTCTGCTAGCAAAGGGAAGGGCTCGGGATGATCGCATGGCAGACACCACAGTTTTCAACCTGGGATATTTTAGACTCTGATATTCTTATACATGAATTTGATACAATATTTTTGATATGATCATTGAGATAAATGACATGTGGTTTTATTATGTTGTTTTATGAGTAATGGGTTTTTCTTTAATGATTTAAAATGAAATTTATGTATTACACTTTTGGGATGTTTCAAGTTGGTATCAGAGCCTTGATTTGAGGGATTTAGGCACACTTTCGGGTATGTCTGAACTCAAACTAAGGAATTGGTATAGAAATTTTCAAAAGAAAAACCATTTTTATAAAAGTA